CTCGCATGCCCCCTGTTTTTTCCCATAATTTCGATTTCTGCAATTAAATTTACGATTATCTTGAGCAGTTCATTTGCAAACGCTTTTAATGACCACGTACGTGCTCGGAAGATAAAAAATACGCAGATTGGGACCATAAAAGTACTCCACTTCGTGCAGGACTGTTGAACATTATCAATTAATGTTCAAGGTCAAAGTGTAGACACGGGATTTTCTCTTTGTGAATTGAGCACATAGCTTCCTGTCGACTGATTTTTCTTTCTTTTTTTTTTTCTTCAGTGGATTTTTTTCTTTCTTTCTTATTTTCGTATCGTAATATTTTCCTGGTACAGGGATCAGATGTAAGTTTTTCTCTTGAGTTTATTATCTTGTGTTTTTTTTTGTCTTTTGACAGCCAGATTTAGAGGCCGACTGCTGGCTAAATAGTAAAAATAACAAGTCTGGAGGCCACAGTACGAAATAGCAGAAACATTGCAACTGCTGTCTGCAGAAGAACGAGAGATGTGTGCTCTTTGATTAATAAAGGAACTAGATCTAGTTCTATTGTCTTCCGTATCAGAGAGCCACACTGAGGACAACACTCTAGTTTTATATAAAAACCATATATGTTGTTTAGGCTTTTACAGACCCATCAATGTTCAGACGTCTTTCTTATGAAATGCCAGGTAGGTAATTGTTCAATTTTAATATACACACATCCCCAACTTTCTTAGCAAATAATGTAGTGTGTTTTACAACCTGACATTTCAGGTAACAACAACAATGACCAGACGTTGACTTGTAGTTCTGAGTCTTTTTTTGGTCGATCACAGCTCTCTGTCTCCAAGACTGTCAAGTTTGCCTGTGAGTGTTCTAAAATTAGTTTATTATGTGTATTCAGGACCTATGCTCTCACAAAGAGTAAATGTTTAGGTCCTGCTGTCTCCGAGATCCTATATGCGTGGTGTACCACCTCTTATGTCTGTGTCCGTGTATGTGTGTATGGGAGGATGTGCGTGTGTGTGTGTGTGTGTGTGTGTGTGTGTGTGTGTGTGAGAGAGAGAGAGAGAGAGAGAGAGAGAGAGAGAGAGAGAGACAGAGAGACAGAGAGGATGTGCGTGTGTGTGTGTCTGTGTGTGTGTGCGTTTGTGTGTGTAGATATATATCAGTTGATAGTTACAACAGCACTATCTAATTTAATGTAATTTCTTTTAGTAAAATTTCTGAACAATCTCAACACCAACATTACGGTAAGTCCCCACGTCCACTGGCTTTTATTGTCCGTTACAGGCCAGGCTCACATGCAAAGGAGCTCGTTTTCGTCAGTCACTGACTTCCTTTGCCTGACTACGCGATTTTCCTGCATGCTCGCTTTTTCGTCAGCCGTACAGGTGACTAATAAAGTTGTATCTCATTCTAATGAGTTGTACAATATTAGATTTGAGCTGAAAAACAGCATAAAATGGAATTAAAGCACTTGACCCAGATTATTTCGTTCTCGAGAGAGATAAAAATAGGCTAGGTTAGACCTAGCCAGTACCTAAGTCACTCCTCACACGGCTAGTATGAGCTAAAAGTACGCCAGGGAAAGAATCCAGCCTCTGTGTAGTTTTTGAAAAAGTAGTCTTGCCTAGACCCATACTTATGTCTCTATATATCTACCTACCCGAAGCAATGCTGAAAAAGTAAATAAATAAATATGTCGCCTGTGCTGTCTGTTGTTCTCGTAATCATAACACACTGGGCTAAAAATAGGTTTAGCATTTCTGACGCGGTGGACGCCGATCTTATTGAGTCGGTTCTACACCATGCAAAAACTTGGTACATTAGCCTGGCCTGGAAGCGACCTTACTTTGGTGGACGAGTAGACTAAAGATGAGCAAACTAGTTTCTTGAGTGGCTCAAGTCACCTCGTGTGACCATATGATAGTCTCCCCGGTTTACCCAGTAAGTAGTTCTCTTACTTTACTTTTCTCACCTTTTCCCCTTAAAAATTCAAATCTAATCCTGGCTTATTTATTGTTTCAAAGCTCATAATTGAAAGTTTAAGAATCCAAGCGTACTGTCCGGACGCATACAAATTTGTTTGTGAGCAAAACTTAAGAATTAGTTGGTTGTTCCTTAAATTTTGACTTTGATGCCGGTCATCACAAATATATTTTCTCTGCTATTTGTTCAGCTTATCCAGAGCCTGAAATCGTCAACTGTCCTTCCGGAGCAAAGGTCAGAGGTGACTATATCATGTCCGGATCAACAGCCACTTGTGAATGTCGTCAGAAAACAGAGGGTTTTCCTGCAGGCACAGTTGTTTTGTCTCAGGGCAGGTCTACCTTGGACTCAGGACCTGTCGCCTCAGGGAATGTCATCAACACTGGTGAGTAGGCTTCAGTTAATGTAAATCAAAGATTATTTCACTTTCATTCTCTTTTCATGACCAATTATTAATTAGAATCATTTGTTTTTCTTCTTCAGAATTATCATATTTAGGTCTACACTATTTTCCACTTTAACTCTTATATCCTCCGCATGTTATAAACTTCCGAGATTTGTTATGCGTTTGCTCGATCTACATTACACTGCAGAGTAATATTCGCGCCTTGGTTTAATAAATCTGGGGTTTTAGGAGGGCATGCTTCGCTGAGGTTGAAGAAGAATTATATGGATGAGGAAGGAGGTGAGGGGGGGGGGGGGGGGGCTCGCATGCCCCCTGTTTTTTCCCATAATTTCGATTTCTGCAATTAAATTTACGATTATCTTGAGCAGTTCATTTGCAAACGCTTTTAATGACCACGTACGTGCTCGGAAGATAAAAAATACGCAGATTGGGACCATAAAAGTACTCCACTTCGTGCAGGACTGTTGAACATTATCAATTAATGTTCAAGGTCAAAGTGTAGACACGGGATTTTCTCTTTGTGAATTGAGCACATAGCTTCCTGTCGACTGATTTTTCTTTCTTTTTTTTTTTCTTCAGTGGATTTTTTTCTTTCTTTCTTATTTTCGTATCGTAATATTTTCCTGGTACAGGGATCAGATGTAAGTTTTTCTCTTGAGTTTATTATCTTGTGTTTTTTTTTGTCTTTTGACAGCCAGATTTAGAGGCCGACTGCTGGCTAAATAGTAAAAATAACAAGTCTGGAGGCCACAGTACGAAATAGCAGAAACATTGCAACTGCTGTCTGCAGAAGAACGAGAGATGTGTGCTCTTTGATTAATAAAGGAACTAGATCTAGTTCTATTGTCTTCCGTATCAGAGAGCCACACTGAGGACAACACTCTAGTTTTATATAAAAACCATATATGTTGTTTAGGCTTTTACAGACCCATCAATGTTCAGACGTCTTTCTTATGAAATGCCAGGTAGGTAATTGTTCAATTTTAATATACACACATCCCCAACTTTCTTAGCAAATAATGTAGTGTGTTTTACAACCTGACATTTCAGGTAACAACAACAATGACCAGACGTTGACTTGTAGTTCTGAGTCTTTTTTTGGTCGATCACAGCTCTCTGTCTCCAAGACTGTCAAGTTTGCCTGTGAGTGTTCTAAAATTAGTTTATTATGTGTATTCAGGACCTATGCTCTCACAAAGAGTAAATGTTTAGGTCCTGCTGTCTCCGAGATCCTATATGCGTGGTGTACCACCTCTTATGTCTGTGTCCGTGTATGTGTGTATGGGAGGATGTGCGTGTGTGTGTGTGTGTGTGTGTGTGTGTGTGTGTGTGTGCGAGAGAGAGAGAGAGCGAGAGAGAGAGTGTGTGTGTATATACTCTGTGTTTGTATGTATGTATGTATATAAGCTATATTTATATATACGTACAGTGGCATCCAAAAGAAACTTGAAAATTTTATCTCCCAATTATTGTGTTAAAACCTTGCACTATCCAATTATGAAGCATACCAATTTAAAGAGAAAAAAATAAACTCTCTATCATTTGACACAATAAAAATGTATCAGTATTATGAAATGCCCGAGGTATCCTCACTCAAAATTGACCTTAAAAAATCAGTCTTGGCAAAATTGCTCAAAATCAAAGAAACGTTAAATTGTTTTTTGCGTGTATTGAGGATCATCAATAATGAACATACTTTGCATATCCAAAGAATGGAGAAATTTTTACTTTCAATAAACAATATTTCATTACGATAGTTTCAAATAACACACACAAAAAAACCAATCACATAATATACCAAGCAAAACTTGGACTTCACAGTGAAAGTGCTCATTGTTATTTTGCTAAGGAGCCATTGGTTTGTGTAGGGCACGGACCCTTTGGGCATCGTCTCTATTAAATTTAGAACATATTTATCTATTTGTGAAGTGTGCTGACTAAATGAATTACTTCTCGAATTTGAGCCCTATGGAAATTGATACATCATGCTTATAGTATAATTTTTTAACAATTTTTAAGTATGAAAAAACAAAAGACATTGTATGTATGTATGTATATAAGCTATATTTATATATACGTTCAGTGGCATTCAAAAGAAACTTGAAAATTTTATCTCCCAATCATTTATACTTAATGAATAATACATCAATAGAAAACCTAGAAATTTGACCCAAGTGTCGATTTTTTAACCAATATCTCCATTTGTGGAATGTGAGAAGCAACTCATTTTATCAGCTCACCTCACATTGTTTTAGCTGCTGTTTCATAAGACTTCACATACCTGCAGGATTCATATCGGGGCTATTTCCTGGTGACCACTCCACCGTTGATATGATTTCGTTTTCCAATAATTGTCTGGCGGTATTTGCTCTGTAAGAAAGCGCTTTGAAATGCATGGAGGTGTCTACTTGAAAGACACTATGACGAAAATAAGGTTAAGACATGACGTTCCAACACTTAGACGATTAAAAAAAAACCATCCGCTGATTTACACGTGGGCAGTTTTGTTATTTCCACCCCAGACCATCCAATACCATGGCAGTTTCAAGGCTTCTGCTCCTCACTGACAATGATTCGTCTACAATCTAACTAACACACTCACATGTACAAAAAGGATTTCATGTCCTACAAGAAAACAACAGATCCTGAAAAATAATCAAAATCATGCTAATGAGTGGCGTCCAGAAAGTAGGTAATGTTTTTAAATAATTATAAAAGAAATAATTTTCCACAACCAAAACGATTTTTTTGAGTACCTCTGATATATAACTACTTCTCCACGTAGTCACCAGAACTGTTGGGGCATTTGTCGTGGCGTGGGACGCGCTTTTGAATGCCTGCATTGTTGAAAGCTGCCGCCTGCGATGTCAGTCAATGTCCAGTTTCTCCTGTGAGATCAGCGTCTGAGTCGAAGTCTTGCCCAGCCAAAAACTTTTTCAAATGCAGGAACAGATGAAAGTCACTCGGAGCCAGGTCTTGGCTGTCCGATGGGTGCTTCAACTGTTCCCACCCGAAGGTCGCGATCAGGTTTGGGTCTGTGCAGACGTGTGATGAACTGCATTGTCGTGAAGCAGAACAACGTGTCGCTAAGCATTCCGCGTCTTTTGTTTTGTAAAGTTGTGGTGAAGAAGACCAGATGGGGCTGAAGCTGCAAGCACCTCCCCATAAGACGTTGCTAATTCACCCCAACCACCTTTTTCAATACTCCGTTTAATAAAAAATACTGGTTCACTGTACTGCAATCATGATCAAACCCCCACCTTCTCCCTTAAGCACCAGAGAGCAAACACGTACATATTATTTGAATATAAATAGCAGAATGTAATAACCAGGAGCAGTTACGTAGCTAATGCCAATTTATAACCAGCGAGTCACTTTTTCATGATTTGCTTTATTTTTTGTATGCGGCGTTGTAATAGAATATTCCACTCCATTCTCATATTTCAAATGGATGCAAGACTAGCATGGGAATGTTGGAATTTTAAAAAGTATTTTATATTTTTTCCTTTCTTACAGATGGACCAAGTAGCGCGATGTTGACCTTCTCACCGACAAACCCGTCCGGTTTGTGTCAAGGCACCAGTCTCAGAGTTGTGTCCACTTGTACTGTTGACCCCAGTACTGTAAACCCTCAGCCGGAATACAAAATCTACGTGAACGGTACACGAGTTGGCACATCTGTACAGCAAACTCTACAGTTACAGGGCGGAGCTCACACAATCAGATGTCTTGTCGAGAACTCGTTATTTCCTGCTGATCTCTCTACTGATGTCACTGAGACGTTCATTGTCAGAGGTTTGTTTTGTTTTCTTTATATTGCTATCTCTTCATTGAGGACACAGAAACATTCACTGACTAGTCATAATCAGAATAACTGTTATTTACATGTATCTTTGATTTGAAGGTCAGATATAATATCGTACAATATGGCTACGTCAGACTTAAATTGGAAATTCTTGGTCATTTTTACTCTAAGATACGGTTTACCACCACCCTTTGGACAGTGCCCCACGATTCTACGACTCGATTTGGTACACGCTCGGTTTGTTGCAGTTTCTGACTTGGGGGGGGGGGGGGGGGGGGGGGGTCGATAGTTTTGTTTCCTATCTGTCAGTTCTTTTAGACCGTTATTTTTCATTTGTTGCTGTTGCTGTTCCCAATCTCCCAGTCCCTCCGCCGGGTCCTCCTGAGATCACTGTGAGTCAGCCGTCGGTCCCCGGTCCTGGAGAAATCCTGGTGAAGGAAAATGTCAGAACCAGAGTGCGGTGTGAGGTCCGAGGGGGATATCCTGCTACAAGTGATGTACGACTGCGCTGTCCTAGTTCTCAGGCCGGTAGCTCTGGTGTGAGCTCTGTGGTCGTAACTAGGTCACAAGGGACACAATGCTCGTGTACGGCCTCTCACGAAAGTGGATGTTACAACAAACGGAGTGACGTCACCATCAAAGCTGCTTGTGAGTTGAGTATGTTTTCTGATCAGCTAAACGTCATAGAGATGAAACCAATTTGTTCATATTTTTAAGGACAGTCCCGATTCTGCTCTAAATTATGAATTTTTAGTTTCCTCAACTTTTTTTTTACATATATTTCATCACATAAGGACCCCCTGAAGCCTCTTTTCGTCCCATTCCAGGGGTGTTTGTCACCATCATTTACTCATTAAGTCAATCTTTTATTTTTCCTTATCGCCCATTTTCTCAAAACGCTATTTACCTATATTCCTTTTTGAATAACTCCACCATTTTTCATCCAATCTTCATGAAATTTTCGCTAAAGGAAGTTGTTGTTATCAATCCGTTCACTAAAGGAAGAGGAGATATAATTCCAAACATCCATGTTCTGATTTTTTATATAAGGAATAAATTTCTGCTGGTGGTGTCTTGAGTAAGGATTTTCCCGGATTTTTTGCAAACTTGAATACTACCTCAGTTTCTAATTCATTTAGGAAAAATTCAACAGTCATTGTAGAGGTAATGTTGGCTAACGTGCATGCAAAAAGAAATCTATTCCCAGGAAAAAAGTGCGGTATTCATTACGTAAAACATCTTTAAAAATCCAATATGAGTGCCGTACCCATGGAAACAAAACGTTTTTCTCAAATTTGATTGCAGATTTTAAGACACCTTACTATGTTTGTTAAACAGAGTGATCCAAAGGAAACTGTAGAGCGTTTTTTTCTAAATATTTTGCACAAAATGTGTACAAGAATGTTGTAATTTGGATTAGATATAATTCATTCAAAAGGAATTTGTTTGACTTAAAATTCACAAAGAACAAACTTATTTTTGGAAACGGAAATGGCTTTTATAAAAAAACACCTAAAAATGCAAAATGTACCAATTTAAAGGATGTTTAAGGAAAGACATGAAATGATTGGTGTGATTTTTCCTGTACTCTTAATTTTAAAATCTAACATTTCCATTACAGTAACCTTTTCAACAATATTTCTTTTTACCCTTAGAGTTTAAAAAATATTTGTTTAAATACTTGAATTTCCAAGAACCAATGGTCTATATGTCCTGCTTTGGACTCCACACATTTTAATGCGTCGTTCGGGGTACGCCGGGGAACAGCGATTACTGACGTCATTTTACCGGGGAACAGCGATTACTGACGTCATTTTACCGGGGAACAGCGACCGGGGAACAGCGACTAGTATTTTACTTTTTTTGTTGTTACAGTTGGACTTGGTGGAATCGCCTACGAATGCAATTAGACCAAACATGTTACATTTCGTCTCGATTTTCAGTAAGCTTAACTAGAGCTCAGTCAAATCTCCCGCCAATCTGTTCTTAAGGAGGAACAAGAAAGAGAGAAGTGTATCACAGCGTAAAGCAACAAGAAGCTGTCGCAGGGTGAATTTTAAAGAACAATTTCTTTTTTAATGTTGTCAGCTCAGTAACAAGTTTGAAAAACCATTTTCCAGAATGTTCTTAGAGTTTAAACTATTGTTTTTTTCTTTCTTTGCATTGTCCGCTTGGGGTGGATGTCATCATTTTCAGCTTAGATACTGCGATTTCAATTCTTCGTTTCATCTTTGTTTTCCAATTTGATATTCCGATTCTCCATGATTGGTTGATCATACTCCTACACGATCATACTCTTACTCACATGATCACACACACACACACACACATACACACACACACACACACACACACACACACACACACACACACACACATATATATATATATATATATATATATATATATATATATATATATATATATATGTATATATATACACACAAACATACATACAATTACACACAAACACATGCACACACACACACACACACACACACACACACACACACACACACACACACACACGCACACACACACAGAGACAGACAATCACCTACATTTATAATTGGTGTTATTTTATTAAACATACGTGTACGTGTGTATATCAATAAATTACAAATACAATGAAAAACAAATCACCAAACAAATAAACAAACAAACACGCACACGGATTTATGATGGGAGTCGTTTTATGAAGCTTACATGTACGTGTGTGTATCAGTAGTGTAGAAATGGAGAGAGAAAAAAAGAAAACAGAATCAAAAAGCAACCAAACGAATAAAACACGATTTTGAAAATTCTGCGCGCAAAGTTTAATCCCGCGCGGCGGCAAACTTCAAAGGAATCTTGCGTCACAGCCTCCCATTTGTCTCTTCACACTGAGGGGGGGGGGGGGGGGGTCTATTATACTGTTGTCTGTCCTATTTATGATAGGAAAATACTACAAGATGCAATCTTGGTAGAATCTAGGCTATATAAAATACTTCTTTTTGTGATCTTATAATTTCTATTTATAAGTGTTTTTGTACCTTGACTATCTCCCTTTTCTTGTTGTCGTCTCCTTATCCAGACGGTCCAGAAGACGTCACGTTGGAGAGAAAAAACGTGAGACCAGAGGAGGTCGGAACGTATAACCTGTGTCCGTCAGCTACATCAGATATAATCATGGAATGTTCTGTAGGAGTTGTCTACCCAGCAGCCACTTTATTCCCAACGATGACGCCACCAGGAACACAAATTGTTGATGTATGTCCAGGAAACGACAATAAGTGCTCCTACAAATTTGTGCCTTCAAGAGGAGCTAATCACGAGTTCTGGTGTATGGCGGTGAACAGCGTTTTTGGAGATATGCGAGGAGAAAGTCCACCTGTACAGGTCTACGTGCGAGGTGAAAGAGTCTTTGAAATTCAAACGAAATGGATAAAATCGTAAAATCTACATTACACAATCTATATAACTCAGATACTTAAACATACGCTAATTAATGGTCCCATGTTTTGTTTTTTCCTCAGCATGCAGGTCCTATGAAACTACATAACCTTATTGATAGTAAAATAAATAGGAGCAAAAATGTGTCAACAAGATAGAATCAGGCAGTCAGTAATTTTAAGAAAAATCAATTTAAAAAATATATATATATATAAATAAAACAAAATAAACCAGCATATTCCGCTATTTGAGCAAGTTGTGCATGTTTTATGTAACTCAACATCTTTAAAGTCCGCCTTTACGTTCTTGAAAAATGTTGATTAACAGCACAAATGATGTCATATTGCAATCTTGCATGCCCCATTCTTGTGTGCAATGTTTAATGTCTCCTTTCGTTTGAGCAGAACCTCCGAAAGTGGCCCCAAAACTGACCATCAGCGGTAAAGATTTCTCTGGCGCAACTGCCGATAACACTGTGGATGTTGTCGATGGAGAAGAAAACTCTGTGGTATGTCAAGTTGATGGGGGATTCCCGGAGGTCTCGCCCTCTGACATCTACGTGCAGTGTGACGGTGTGAAAGTGACAGATGGAAAGGTTGTGTTCACACTTGATAGAAACGCCACGTACTGTACTTGTCGGGCACAACATCCTAGTGGTTGCTACCACCTATCGACTGAAGTCCTCGTCATTGCAATACGTGAGTGTACGTGTGTGTGTATGTTTGTGTGTATGTTTGTACGTGTGTGTTTGTGAGAGTGTGTGTGTATGTTTGTGTGTGTGTGTGTGTATGCGCGTATGTACGTGTGTGTATATATGTATGTGTGTGTGTATGTATGTGTGTGTGCGTGAGAGTGTTTGAATGCGTGTGTGTGAGCGTGTTTGTTTGCGTGTGTGTAGGTGTACGTAAGTGTGAGTGTGTTTACCTACATGCCCACCAAAACAGATAAAACGACCAAAATCATCCGTCTCTCGAGAAATCGTTAGTTGAGATGGAGCACCAGTTAAACCTTTAGCAATCAGGGAAGTTCCCTTTGGATTTGTTCACCAACACGACCCGACATTATACCGACAAAAGGTGAGTCAGTTGAGATGTCGTGTGGAACGTTGAAGATGGACCATTTAATTTGTCAGTAATTGTAGGTCCAGCAAAAGCTAAAAAAAACCTTTTGTTAATTCAGATTAAAAAGCTTATGTTATAAAAAAAACACCTTTACATATGCCTCAAATTACCAAAGTCTGCTTATAATCCACTCGTTTGTGTGCATACTAGCCGGGCCCCCTTTTGATTAAAGGAATGATCGGTGCATTAACATCAACTAAAAGTCATTGGCCTACTATATTTGCACTCTACTAGAATGGTGCAATGAATCTTGAGGGATACAAAAAATTAGAAGATCTAGATCTATACTCTCAAAAGAGAATGCGCGTCGCAAAACATCACTTCCAGCACTCCTACTGTTTAGGGGAGCTACGCATATTTGTTTCTTTTCTCAGTTTAATAATCACAAAGGCCAAAGTAGGACGGGAGCTTTTTGTCTAATATATTTATCTGAATTCAGGAAATGAATAAATAAAAAATCGGGCTCCGTGTTGTGGACATTTCTATCTTTTTACAGGTACTTGCCAACTTTCAACTCTGCAGTTCTCGTTTTTTGGGGGGAAAAGTGACGCGTGTGTTTCTAAGTTGCCAAATATATTTGACTAGCTGGGCCCCCTTTCGAAGAAAGAAATGATCGGGGCATTAACATCAACTGAATATCATTGGTCTACTATAGTTACACTCTACTGGAAAAAAGCAATAAGTCTTGAGAGAAAAGTGACACATGTGTTTCCAAGTTGCCAAATTTATATATAATTGATGCATAGATTGATTCTCTAGTCCGCTTTCGTTGTTGTACAAAAGCCTGTTGATTGTTCCCAGTAGCAATAAAAAGAATTTGACAAAGGAGTCCAGAAAAAGCGATGGTGGGCATCAAACGGAAGGGTCACAGTCGAATTTAGCACCAAGTAAAAACAGAAAACCTGAGGTTAGATCTATACGGGTCGTACACTTAAAATAGTGCCCAGTATTGCGTGACAATGCGCGATAGTATCGAACGGAAGTACGACTTGAAATAAACAAACCTGGTGGATTTCTAAAATTGCACAGACAGAAGCGTCAGCCTACAAAAGCTATCGGCGAAATAAAGAAATTTAGCTTTTTGCAGCAAAACCGTCTCAAAACTAAAAAAAACGAAGGGCGTCATGATCTGGAGAATATTTTAGAGAACCTTTAGGCAAAAACCGCCTGTCGATCGATGCAGCCATTAAAAAGCCTTTTGAATAGCAAAATTCGGCCACCACATATAGATAATTAAATAAATGTCAACACTCTTTGTGACTTGACGTAGACTTTTAATAATCAAGCACAATGAAGACATACGTCAGACGATGCATGACTGGGACAGAAACGGAACAGAAATAAAGCAGATGAATATGATGGACAAATAAGGGAATAATAATAATGGACACAAGGAACAGATACGAATGATGGCACATACATGTGGTCTTGTAGCTACTGAATGATATTCCTCTAATAATAGATTATCAACAATTTTACTTGTTTTCCTTTGTTTTGTTTTTTTGTTTTTGTTTTTTTAAGAATCCTTTTTGGTTTTCTTTTATGGTTTGATATTCCTGCCTTGTGTTCCTTCACCTTTAGCCTGTTTATAATAATGTAAGCGAACAGACCGAAGTTCCTCCTCATGACCTACAATTTGTTCGATTCTGCTTTGGTCGACACGCGGCCTTATTCCAGTTCTGAATTTTAATACAAGTTTTACTTTCTATTTTTTTTATCAAGCCTTTTTTTGGCTCAACACGTTTTATTTTCATTTATGAACACATTGTTGTCTGCGATTTACTGGAAAAACTTTGATTTAAAGTACAAACAAATGTAAATTTACAGTTTCCAAGGCCTATTAAGCTTTGGAAGTTACAAAACTGTGGTATCCATGTTCTCACTAATATTACTTCTGAAACCAGGTGACACTCACCTCCTTTAATCACAAATGTATTGACTTCTATTGAAACAAGATGGACTTTTAAAAAGGAAAAGTAGGACAAAATAATAATCTTTCTCCCAAAAAGCAAGACAAATGAACACGCTTTAAGATGATACCAATGGCTCCATATGCCAAAAATTTGACAAGCGCCTGATTATACCGCGTCTTGACAATATTATTTGTTAATAAATCTGGCGCTCCTCAAAACAACGAAACCGAAGAAACCGGTATTTGTCCGCTGTCTAGCAAACTTTTTTTCCTTCGAATTTTTCCTATTTGGCTTTATTAGAAAAAATCATTTCTGTGTGGGTTTTATTGACAGACGTTGATTAAAGGCACGCACAGAAATGTAAATGTTACGTTTCCAAGGACTCTTAGAGAAAGGAAGTCATCAAATTTTGGAGGCAATTTTCTCTTTATTTTGCCTTTGAAACCACCCACAATCACTTCATTCAACTGCACAAATTTGGACTTTGTTTTAAGACAGATGGGTATTTTTTTTTCTCAGAAAGCAAGACAGTGAACAACTTTAAATAATGCAAATGTGAAATATCTGTACACGTCCCAAAATTGACGAGCGCCTGATTACACTTTGTCTTGACACATATCTTTCTTTTATGTGACCTACAAAGTGAAGACAGAGGCGAAGCTTCAACAAAGTGATGATGAAATGACCATACCAGTAGCAGTTGGGGCAGCCTGTGCAGCTTTAGTCCTTTGTTGTGTCACTGCGGCGATTGTGTTCTGCCTTTTGAAGAGAAAAGGTAAGAATATTTTTTTCTAATGTAAGTGTTTTTACAAACCACCTCCCCTCCCCATCTATACAATTAAGATCAGTTAAGAGCGGGTTTTGGACCCTGCATTTCGGGGCTCAACCGAGTTTAAACGGATACAAAATCCCTCCAGGAATATCGACAAATTCAGTAAGACTTCTCACCACTCGGGAATTGAACTCGAGCTCCAGCGAAGCGCCTAACCTCTATACCACAAATGTTTATTCAAATACGTTGACATAAGTTTAAAAAATACGACAGCATAGTTAATTCGAATAATTTTTTTTGTAACAGGTGTTCTTTAAAAAAGATTGTAATTCTGGTATATTAGATATTTGTGAAACAAGAAAGAAAACAAAACGACTTCTGTCTCAACGAGTTACTCGAAATAAAAAAGTAGATGACAAAAAATATATAATGCTGTTGTAGTAAATATCGTCAAACTAAAACAAAATCATGAAAACAATAATCATAGAATCTACTGTAAAAGAAAGAGTAATCATGCCTCATTTTCTAAAGCTTTGTTCTATTTGGCTAACTTTGACTTGTGCTCTCTAAATCTCAGTGTACATTTCTTTCCCTTCCACAGGCTGTTTCCTCAGGAAGGCTAAACATGAAGAAGAACAGTCGTGAGCATTCATTACTCGAAACGTTTTGATGTTGTTTTTTTAATCATTCATTTTTGTTTTACATGTTGCTGCTTTACGCACCCACACCGGTCAGAGCCAAAATTGGCCCAAAGAATACTACAAAATTTATTTGTTTTTTGCTACCAACAAAATAATTCAGATCATTATAGCAGGCAGGTTTCAACCATGGCTCTCAGTACCAACCAGCGCGGAGAGAGAAAGCGAGAGAGGAAGAGAGAGAGAGAGAGAGAGAGAGAGAGAGAGAGAGAGAGAGAGAGAGAGA